GTCGGGATATGCTCTGGCTCGGCGGAGACGCACCGGCTGCCCTGCTCCCGGTATGTGCTGAGCCAGCACCACGCACCCCGGCCACAGGAGCGTACCTTGTCCTGGGGGGAGCCAGGGCCTGGCCGCCCAATGGCCGGAGGGTCCGAGCAAACACGGTTAAAGGTTGCCGATAAGGTGTTGTCATGGAGCAAACATTGATCTCCGTCCCCATGGGGAAGGCTCAGGGAAGCTCCCTTGCCACGGGTAGAGGCTGTGAGCTGCCTCCCACCGGGGCCTCCCCTTGGAGCTGCAGGGATGCTCCAGGCTCCCCTGGGAGGTTGCATCAAAGGAGCCCAGGGTGCTTTAGGCTGGCAGCAGTGCAGGGACGCTGTCTCTGCAGCTGGGTTTCCCCAGGATCCTGGCAATGCTGAATTCAAGTCCTGTGCACTGTGCTTGATCTGCAGGAACCATGCAAGAATCGGGGACCATCCACGTCCATGTCTCGCTGGAGGCTGCAGAGCCCAGGCACACCATGAGTGCAGCACAGACCCTACACCGCGGCACGGACCTGCAGCCACCACAGGCACCAGGTATGGCCCCGGCAGGGCAGATGTGTGTTGATGGCTCTAGGAACTGCCCGCGGCTCCCGTCAGGCTGTGTGCGACACCCCCCAGGTGCCAGGGGCCCGGGGACCTCTGTCCCTGCAGGAGCGATATACGAGGCACACACATGAGGTGCTGCTGATGTATGCACTAACAATATGCCCAGTACAACCAAAATAAATTAACGGGAGCCACACCCAAAGCAGCTGCCACAGAAGTAAGCGCTGCGTGGCAGCCAGTGAAACTCCCTAATCCACCTTTTGTGTCACTTAAGGGTTTATCTGCATGTCCAGCGAACTGCCTAATGACTGAACGTGAGCTGACGTTGCCATTAAATTCCCAGTGCCAAGCAAAGTGCAGGACCGTAATGGCGGTTTTAATTGGCAGTAGTGAATGGTGTGCTGCTAGCACGCCCGCACCAGGGCACCGGTCGTGCTCTCCCCGTGGCTGCACGCACCCACCCCCCCAGGGAGGCAGAGTGGATGGTGATGCACGGAGGGTAATTAGACCTCCTTGCAATGAGGGTCTGCAGGCTTCTGACCTAATTGCGATGCACAGGAGCAGAACTCCCGGCCCATTGGGTGGTTAATGCTGGCGAGGCTCATGCCGCTGTCTGGCCAGAGATGAATGAAACGAGGCTGAAAGAGACCTCATGGCGGAGGCTGCTGTTTCCCCGTGTTTCAGTGCGGTGCTGCCTTTGTCCCCCCAGCAGATCAGTCCCCTCCCTGTGGCGGGTGCTGCTGCCATTGCAGCACAGGAAAGCGCAGGGCTGCAGCGATGCAGTGCCGGTGCTGTTTGCTCTCTGCGCCTTGGGGACCAAGGGCCCCCAAGGTGGGGGCACAACTGTGCAGGTCTTTCTTGTGGAAAGGCTGGAGGGGTGTTGTGTGCCTGGGTTTGCCAGTGCTAGGCAGGGCACCCTGAGCCCACCCCAGTGTGAGGGTGAGTGCCGTGGTTTGCCTGTCCAGGGGATGTGTGCTGCAGCCAGAGTGTGGAGGGGGCTGCCCGGCACAGGGGGGTTTCCTGGCATGACATCTGCTCTGATGAGTCAGGCTTCCTCCGCTGCCACCACCCCAGCCCATCCCTCCCGCCAGCGGGCAG